CAGACGTGTGCTCTTCCGATCTCCCCAAAACCCCAAAACCCCAAAACCCCTCAAACAATGATTTGATTAGACGAAGTAGAAGGATAATTTAAATTTGATAAACTGTAAAATTATTAATCCTTCAAATATAAGATAATATCTTAGTGATATGATGATTCATGATTGACCTCATGCAAGATCAATGCTCTTGATATCCCATAGAAGATACTTGGTGTCAGCATTGCTTACTGGAATTCTAAGGGTGTTTGAAGTTGGGTCTATTGAAACTGTGACTTTTGCTGATTTACCATCAGCAGTATTGATAGTGGCAGTCTTGATACCAGCGACACCTGATTTTGCAGCCCATAGAATGTAGACATCTCCAAGGGTTTCTTGATTAGAAGGAGTAGCGCCTTTTACAGCTTTGCCAGTATTAGTGATTGTAATCTAGAAAGTCTTCTTATCAGCACTTGCAATCATGTAGAACTCAAATCTGGCATGTGGATTCTTATCATCATTGATTTAGCTGATGCCATCATCGAAAATAAGTTAACCTCTAGCAACTGCGCTCACAGTTGAGGATAGAGTCATTGGTACGTTATCTGAAACTGGAAGAGCGTAAATGTCGGTGTAGAAATTTTGAAGGTCAAAGGTCTTTCTGACTTTGTTAAGGGTAGCATCTTAGTATGGGATCATATATCCGTTTCTTAAATGAATCCAGTAGCTTTCAAGCTTGGTCTCAAGATTAATAACACCCTTGTCACCGCCTGGTGAGTCGAAACAGTCAGTAGTAGGGTTAGCAACTGGTGGTAAAACTTGACACCATCTTCCCTATGGGAAGTAATAATCTCTGGTTGATTTCTTAGTCATGAAGTCGAGATTATCGGTTTCCATTGAAAGCTTCAAGGCATCACCCAAAAGAATGTTGTAGTTAATATCAAGATAAGATTTCATATCAAGTGGGTACTCATAGAATAATGGCTTGAAGAATGAACCACCTTCAATAGCCATTTGGAAGAAAGAGGTGTAGTAGTACTTAACGAAGTTATATCTGTTAACAAGTGCCATTCTGATGACATCGTAATATTTATCGAATTTCTGGAATGTCTGACCTGGTTTGACTGGATCACTGAATCTGTATGGTTCTTGAGACTTTGATGCGTTTTGATTATGATTTCTGGCAAATGGATATAATGATCCAAGAATATGCCATCTGGTACAAAGTTCATTGGTGGCATCACCATTGAAACCACAGATATCTGAACCCATGAAAGGTAAGGCGAAAAGATTGTATGAGAAGATACCATCTACTGAGAGCTTCATATATTTCATATCTGACCAGTTATCTCCCATCCAGTGATGACCATATTTACCAATACCTGGGAAGTCTGATCTTGTCAGAACATAAGGCCTAAGGTTTCTCTTTTCGATTAGATACTCAGCAGTGGCCTTGGTTTACATAAGTGGGAATAGATTGTGAACGTCATACTCACGTCTTTAGATAGAATCGTGCCAGCCGTCAACACCAAGAGCCTTGTCCTCGAGATCTCTCCATCCTGGAACGTAGAATGGCTTGTTTCTATATGAATCGTCTGGTCTCTCTTCTGGCTTGCAGTATCCGTTACAGAAATTAGTAGCTTCATTCTCGTCTAGCCAAATACCATCAAAGTCTAAATCTTGAGTTGTGTGAAGATCATCAAAGTTATCTTTCCACCAGGCAACTGTCTCTGGCTTGAAGAAGTCTGGGAAGTAGGCGTTACCACACCACACTCCAGCAGTCAAGTAGTCCTTGTGGTTGTCTTGCTTGATGAAAACATCGTTATCTATACCCTTATCAAGAGCTCTGTAGCCTTGGTTGAGCCTGACTGCAACTCCAGCGTCCATAATTGGTACGAACTTACGGTTATCTTTCTTGATTTAATGAACAAACTTGGGGAGTCTTGAATAGCTTTGCTGAGAAATAGTAAATAATTTGTAATCGTCCATGTAATCAATATCTGCCCACATTGTGTCTAGAGGGAGATCAATATCTGGACTAGTGTAATTGTTGTAAACATCAATCCAATCTTGATCAGTCACGTAACCGAATCTACATTATTACCAACCAAAAGCCCATAGAGGTGGGACAGTTGGGAATCCAACTAATTTAGAGTAGGTCTTAATGAGATCATCTGGCTTAGTTCCTTGGAAGAAATATTTACTGATGACTCCACCAATAACTATCTTATGGATTTGAGTCTCCTTACTTCCATTGTCAGTGTACACAATATAGTCAGTGGCATATGATGAAAGATCAAATACTCCGAACCAATCTCTTGTATCCTTAAGATTTGATTAGAATGCATAGAGTGGTTAGTAACCGTACATATTTCTGCCAGGTGGGAGACCATCATCGATTGGATTAGCTTGATCAAATGTCTTTCTTGAGTGAATGGCTCCATTTTAGTCAGTGTAGAACAAACTTCCAGCTCTCTCTCCCATACCTATTAAGGGTTGAGCTGTGTTATCAGGATTCATGTTGAAGATACCAGAGTCAAGAATAAAGAAGTCAGAGAAGTAGAACTTTGTGGGGTCTGATCTCCATAGCTTAGTAGTCTCATCAGCTGCATTCTTATAAATGGCGTATGAGAATGGCTTCTCAGTGAACTTAATGAAGTCTGTGATCTTCTTGGTTAGCTTATCCTTTGGTGGGAAAAGATTGCTCATATCTGGGTTGAATACTGCATCCTTTGGTGGTCTGTAAAGTATCTTGTTTCCTGACTTGAAATCCTCATCAGTTGTTATTTCAACGTTCATGGTTCCTTGGTCGTCCATCAATGTGAAAACAGCTACCAATGGCTTCATCATACTACCACCTCTGCTAGCAAGAGTATATGTAACGGTTTGGTCATCTGAAGTACCTTTTGTGCCGTCATATTGGAAAGTGTTGGTATCGCAGAAGTTTTGCTCAATCTTAGAATTACCGAACTTGATAAATCCGATCTCATTGAATTTGACGTCTGGGTGATCAATGGTTGGCTTAATTGTTAAGATTTTAGTGGCTGGGTTATAGTATGGTTTCTTTAGAGCTATTGGTTGAAGGTTCAATCCGAGGTAACAAGCGAAATCAGAATCCTAAAGATCATCAGCGTTTAAGATTTAGATATCCTCGAGGAGATGAATTTGATAGTCTGCAGGTGGATTGTACTAGAAATCACCTTCTTGCACCCAGAAGTTGATGCTCTTCTCTGCGTATCTGAGTTTCCAGTAAGTGAAGTCTTGGCTGTTATCATCTTTAATAGCATAGCTAGCTGATGAAATACCATCATCAATGAGCACGTAACCTTCAGCATACTTCAATGACTGATCTCTAGCAATGATAAAACTAGTTCTGAGTTTAGTTTCAAAGTCCTTAGTAGTCTTGTAGCTACCGGTGTTTAATTGGAATGGAATGATCTTTCCTCCTTTCAAGTGAATATTAGTGTAAGCAAGACTAGACTTGAGGTTAACAGTCTATCCACCTTTGGTAGTATCAATCACTGATTTATAATCGTTGAGGTCATGCCAGAGTCCCTAAGGGAAGTAAACTTCGTATTCATCACCATCCTTGAGTCCTTGCTTAAGGACTGGGCTGACTTTGATGGAATCTCCAAGCATGTAAGTGTGCTCAATATCTTCAAAGCAGTTATCATCTCCAGGATAATCAAAGAAAAGAGGTCTGACTACACTGCCTCCATAGCGATAAGACAAGTAGACCTAGCTGTAAATGTATCTATTATACTACAATCTATTATATAAAGCAGACCTTGCCATCTTTAAATAGTCATCCTTTAAGTAGTAAAGTTCCCCACTTCCTCCAGATTCAGTTTTGTTAGTTGTATAGTTAAAGTAAAGCCCATTGAAGTAATCTCTGACGAAAGGCAGAAAGACTCCAAGTTAAGCCCATCTAGCACACAGTTCACCATTGTCTAGGTGATCACCTGAGTCACCGCATACATCTACCACTGCATTCTAGATACCGAACATGTTCATGCTCATCACCTAGCCTATCACTAATCTCAGACTTGACCAGAGCACTGGGATATCCCCAATCCAAGTACCTCCATACTATCCAGATCCAGGGAAGGTACTCTCGCTGTATATCAAAGGTCTTTTACCATAATTCGAGTAATCTTGATAGTTTAATAGTACATCACTCATTACCTTCATCTGCATATGCCCATTGACATTGTGTAAATAGAACTCAGTATTGAACAAAGATGCACCAGCTGCATCTTTTTAATCTGCATAGTGAGTGGCATTAAGTGATATACTGTGATTGTCTAGGTAACCCATGCCTTGAAAACCTGGGATAATGGGTAGATAGTAAGTTGAGTAAGCCTATTAGTTATCCTTATCAATTTGATATGTACCAAATTAACCCACTTGCTCTTCATTCTAGACTGCAGAGTCTAATTATCTCAGCAGAAATTGTGATTCCTATTCTTATTAATAAGGTGGCTGTGATTAAGGCTATTAATATGTGGTTTGCTTGAAGTCATGAAATTAAGATTATTAAGTTTAAGATGACTCAGTGATAGTTTCTTTATTTTCAGATGTTTCAGCTTTCTAGGTATCTGCCTTCTCACCTGTATACTAGGAAAATAGTGAGTTCCATTTAAGAAGATATCCATCAATGCCATACTCAATTGCAGTGTCTAAGTTCTTGATACCAAACTAGTAGAACTCAACGATATTAGGGTGAAACATATCAGGGATATAGCCATCTTCCTTATACTTCTAGGGACTCGTGAATAAGTCTTTACCTTTACTAGTATCATTTCCACTTTTGATAAGAATGCCAAGTTCTCTGGCTTTGTCTAATATGCTATATTATTCGTACTGAGGTTTGGCTACATAGTTATACACTCCTAGAATGACCTTTTGATTGGTTGCATGTAAATCTCTTGTCATGTTAGGCAGTCTTCTGAAAGAGTCATAGCTCACAGTGAAAATTCGATCCTTTTAATCATTGTACTGCTCAACCTGTATGCCTTCAAGAGGCAAATCATTTGCGGCATAGTTTCGAGGTTGATCAGCAAGCCAGAGATCAATGCTATAGCCTTCAGAGCCTTAGAAAAAGCCAAGAGCATAGTAAGGAGGCATGGCTGAGAAGCCTATCATAGTGTGATATTTCTAGATTATTTCTTAAGCTGTGCCTCTCATAAATACATAAATCTCCAATGATCCTCCAAGCTAAATGTAATTAAGAACAGTTTGATCATAGCCATCAAAGTGGATAATCTCAAAAGTCTGCATTGTAGTAGCCAAGAAGAAAATACCCATAAAGTCCTTATTCTTAGTCTAGCAGAGCACAAAGGGATGCACTCCTGGACCACTTTAACCCCCTAAGCCATTATCCTCTGGCTGATACTCATAAGAATTGTCTCTACCCTTTGACCATAGAGTATATGTGCCTTGTTTCAGCATGAAAGAGCCATGTCTTTAGCCAATACCGAACACTCTTTGAGTTGGTAGAACAAAGCCGATTTCTGAAAATTTCTCAGACATGAAGAATTTTCTATTTTTTGTGTATAATAAGTCTTCTTGATTATATATATTTTTGAATCCAAAGTTAAAGCCTTCTTCAGTAGATATATTATAGTTAAAACCAACTTAAGTAAGCCTGGCTTCCTTGGCTATAACTGGTCTTTTAAATACCTTCTCACTGACTGTGTAATTTGAGTTAGGGTCTTTATCAGAAATAAAAATACGCGCTTGGTAATTATCCATCAGATCTATTTAGAATAAAGCCTCAGTCGTAAACTTATTATTAGGCACATCTGTGGGTACATCTTTCGGATTTATTGGCTTATACAAAGTTCCTTAAAATCCTTATCCGTCTTTCACTTCTTACTAGCTTTTAGCCTTTTTCTATTTTACATAGTTCAAATGGTTTTCATCCTCCATGGAAAATTTATGAAAACTGTGCTTCTCAGTAAGTGGGTTTTGTTTTAAAGAAAACTTTATGCTGGAAATAGTGGATTCATAGTGAGAATCATTTTGAATTTGGAAAGTGTTAAACTCTTTGTAAGAGAAAGGGTCAGGAGGAGGAGGAGGTGGTGGTGGAGTAGGGTCATCACTATCCTTTTTAATAAGGGTAAGCGGTAATACTATTGCAAGAATAACTGCGATGAGGATTAATCCAATTATTATACCCCATTTCAGTCGCTTTTTTCTTTTTTAATCATTTTGTTACTTCGTTTAAGTATTATCCTGGTTGTTGCTCATCGGGGCAAATGATTTTGATTTTTCTTCTTAACCTGTTAAACGCTACGGCTGATTTTCGGTAAAGTTTAGTTACATTCTCTATTCGTCAATCAATAGAGATGATGATTTATCTTTACTTGGACTATTTTCCGTATCCATTTAAAAGCAAGATAATTATTATTATAGCATATCGAATCAAGGTATGTATTTTAAAGAATCTTGAATCTTTAAAACTTATTAATTTGATACATGGGGTTTTGGGGTTTTGGGG